AGGTTTTTCAAACTATGAATTGATCCCCTCAAAATGTTATGTTTATTTATCTATTTATTTTAAGTTTTAAAAAACTGTTAAATTTCAGAAAGTATTGTCTAGTGATTACACTAGGGGGATGAGAGCCATGATTCCTGGGTAATGGTCCCAACTCTATCACTGACTGAGTCTCCCCAACACTTGTGCTTTCATTGTGAGTCTCACAATATTTGGCATTATACTCAAAGCTCCAGCTCCTGGAGTCCTAAGATTACCTGAGAATCTTACTTGTTATCAAAAAATGTGTTTCTAGCCCTCATGGTTTTGGAGAAAAGCTTGAAAAACTGTGCCTTAAAAGGATCAGAAACCAGAAGGCAAATTAAAAGAACCCAATTGGTTATTTGTTTTTAAATCTTGTGATTTTTCAAATCAATTTCATGACTTTTTGAGCCCCAATATGAGTTTTGAAGGTTTGGGATTGGCACTACTGGTGATTTGTTTTTTGACTCAGGGCAAATTATTTAACCCTTCTGTGCCTCAATTTGTCCTTCTTTATATAGTCCCTAACCCTGTAAAAGTTGCTTATACAGACCCTGTTCGAAGTTGGAGAAAAATGTGGAAGTCATACTACTTTTCTCCCCTTGCTTTGTACTTAGTATTTGAGCGGAAATGAATAAGGTAAATTGAGACAAATTGGAATGATGTTGAAGAACACTCTTTATCTTCCCATTCCTAGTGGTTACACAGCACCTAATGGGTACAACTACTCTGCAGCCAGAGGTATAATTTCCAATTTGGGTAGACATACCCATGCTAGCTTTGATCGAGCCAGTGTGGTAATAAGAGCAATGTAGCCATCACTCATTGGACAGCAGCAGGGGCTAGCCACGTGAGTACAGGGGGCTGGTTGGGATTATACTGGGTGGCAAACCTGTGCTGTTGCTCATTTAGCCACCACTTTACTGCTATTTTTAGTGCACTAGCTCAGTCAAAGCTAGTGAGGGTACGTCTACCCAAGTCAGAAATCTCATCCCCGGCTGCAGGGTAGTCACCAAAAGGGTTCTAAAGAGCCAGAGTGTGTCTAGGAGGCTGCTGGATGGAATGGCAATTCAGTTCAGTGACGTGAGATCCCTGTTTTGAAAGAGGCAGTTAAAAAATTCTTGTGTTAAATTCCAGCATCTCAAATCCTGCTTCCCTTTTTTCAAACACAGCGCCCAGGAGCGGGTCCTATGGCTGTTATGTGCCTGCTTTTCTGCTCAGCTAAGCATGACAGCAATATCTTCACCTGACATGGCATGCACACAGTTAATGTTTCGCATCATTTTCTGATGCAACTGTTCCAACCACTGTTTTGTCTTTGGGGTGTTTTTCTTTTTGGTTAACAGGTTAAACTGGTATTTCAAGTAGGTAGATATTTTAGTCGTTATTTCAAGAGATTCCGCAGCAGTGATCTGGCAGCAGCACAAAAGGGTTAGGGGAGAGGGGCTAGCTGAATTTCCCTGACCTTCACCCATATTGCAGATTGAGGACACTGGGAGCACATGGCCCTGGAGCCCCCAGCAAGGAGCACTGTGTGGATTAGACCCCTCCATGGAACTTCCTAGGAGAAGGTTGGTTAGGTATAATTTATGGAGAAGGGAGGAAAACAAATAATAAAATAAAAATAGGCAGTAAGTCCAGGATCACTCTTTCTGGGTGGGGGGAAATATTAATGGAGTAGAAGAGGTTAGGATTTGAAATGGAATTTTAAATATATTAAATAAGAGATTAAATGATGTCAGTCATCCAATTGTGCACTATGTTAGCTATATAAACCAAGCGTATGATTTATTACTGTTACATCGTCCTTCCTCCTGACTTTGTGAATGGAAGAAACATGGTGCAGTCCTGTTTCTAATTAGGCCCCTATCCTGCAAAGACTTGTGCATCTGCCTGACCTTAAGCACGTGGTGGTCCCATTGCTTAAAGCTGAGCACACGCATAGGTCTTTGTAAGGGTCAGGACCTTAGAATGTAAGCTAATGGGAACAGAGATCAGGTTCATATTAGGGAGGCCACTCACGCATCCCCAGAATATCGGACATTTTAGTACTTCCAGGAATGGCATGGGTCCACACCCGACAACGTGACCCACCAGCGTGACCTTGCATGCATGCTAGTAGGGGCGGGGCAGCACGCTTTATAAAAGGGCGTTCCCCTATTTGATACCATTCAAAACTATGTCCAGTTTTGTTTCACTACTGAATGGAGGACAAACCTTAGAAAAGCAGGGCTGCTGGGCTTAAAACTGAACGAATGGCCTGCCTGATTCAGATATGTACTCTGTACAATGCCTAGCACCACAGGATCCTGATCTTGATTGGGACTTTGAGGCCCTCCAATACTACAAGTTAATAATAATAAATACAATTATGAAAATATGGGCAGGGATAGGAAATAAGATCTTATTATAAGGCTGCACTTCCTACCACAAGAATCACTTAATGTCTGGGCCTATTATTGTATTGCCAGCAAGTGAGGAATTATAGGCTTTGCACTGAAGAAAACAACTGATTGTAAACTCCTGGATTCACAGGACACAGTCTGTCTTTTCATCAACTATTCGTACATCTACTAGACAAACACATCGGCAGGGTGCTCGTAATTTACTTAACACAAACTGTCAAATATTGTCCCGCTTTAACAAGGCTCCCTTTTGATAGTCCATCACTGTAATGTTTTTGTGAACCATGATAAATTAACTGGTTTCACGCATGCTACGGTAGAGACAGATGGCATTTATATGCCAGTTTGTTTACTGCGAGATTCACAGTTAATGATGAAAGAACAATTTTAAATGCAAAAAGTTTCAAACAAAATAATGCAAAGACGGTCTGTTCATAGTGGAGATCACTGCTAGGTAGTGGATAAGTACTAGACTAGGTCCATATTTAGTCCACCCAGTAATGACTGAGTTATTGTGGCACCAATATATGCCATTACTGTTGCTTTTATTTAAACTTTACAGTGAATATTAGCTTTGGAGAAAGTTGAAAGACTAGCAGACGTGGAAATGGTTTCCCACAGAACCGGATCAGCATGGACAGCAGAAGTACAACTTGCCCCATAAAGGCTTGTCAATACTGTCCCGCCTCAAGTCTTGTCTGGAGGAATCACCTCTAAGGGTGAGAGGGTCCATGCACATTCTGTCCTTGACCTGAGACTACCAATAAACACCAGCTGTGACATGGGCCCCTGTCTGCTATGATCTGTCTGCTACTCACAGTGCCAACTCATTTCACATGGGGCCACTGGGCTGGCAGTAGCCTTGAAATCCTCACATGAGAGGTGCAATAGAAGTGCAAAGTATTACTATTACTCTGAGAAGTCTGAGTTAGATTCTCAGGTCTGAGGGGCTAACTTCTGGCTTTAAGCCACATCCCTGTATTGGGCATGGGGAAAATCCTCCTCAGCTGGCAAGCTCTGTCTGCTGGTATCAGGGACGGGAGGCATCACTCTGCCTTTACCCACCAAGGCCAGAACTGCTATTGGCACTAACCAAAAGCAGTCCTTCAGTCAGGAGCATGCAAGGACAATAACTTATAGCACGGGGTGTACAAGAAGGGAAGGTTTTTTGAATGCTCCCACTGCACAAGGGCCAGACACAATGTGGACCTTCATCATTTTTTCCTGAGTGCAGGGACTGTGATTGCACCTAGTTCTCATGGGGAATGCACAAGGGGTTGAGGAGGCTCCTACTTGGAACACCCACAGTCACAATCCGCCCTAAATTATTTAATTGAACATAACAATACAAGACTCAATTTGCCATCCTGATGTTGAGAAGCACTTATACTTATGAGCAGTCCCCACTGAGACATTGTCACATTATATATATGGAAATCTAATCCTCACCATTGGAATTAACTAACATGGAGAATGAATACAATCTGGGTGAGAAATGTCACCAGGAATGCCCCAGCATTTATTGCCTGGTATAAATTCAGAATAAAGCAGCATATATGGGGTTGTGTATTACAAGAAAATGTTTAAATATTTTTACAGTGAGAACCTTCAGGGAAGTTTACCACATTATTTTTAAAAAATGAAGCCACTGCAAAATTTAGATTCTATAGTTTGCTGATGAAGTTCAGTCAAATCAGTGGGATAAACTTTCTTTAAGGTCTTCTTAGGGATGAGAAAGACGCAGACAGTTTGGGAAGAAAAGTCATTTGAAAGTGGTTAGTGGAAATCTTTTGCCTGAGCAATATTTAATTGCCTAGAAAAATCAGGGTAACTACATGTGGGATCATAGTTAAAAGAAATAACAAACTGAAAAGGATTGGTAAGGAACCACAGCATATTTCTCTCTGTCACACATGCACGCGCTCTCTCTTGCTCTCTCCCCTGCCTTTCTTTCTCCCCCCTCCCCCAATGATTGGTGTTTTCTGAAAATTATTTCAAGAAATCCATAAAATACCCTACCCCCTGAAAACCCTAATCCCAAATGTTAATCCCTTAGACTCCGTTTTAGCAATGAACATGAATGAACCATGTATTGGTAAACAATGTCTGAAATCTTTAATCCAACTCAAGATTGGCTTTATGGTCTACAGGGCCTCCCTCTCCAGCTCAATGTTACAGGGCTTCGCAGCCCATGAGCTGAATTTATGCAGAGCCCCTCCCCCTAAAGTGCAAGGCCTCAACCAATCACTTATGTTGCTTTTTCAGAGAGTTAGCTCTAATTCAGCTGCAAATGGATTCACAATTGGGAGGTTACTGGTGCAATTTTTAATTGCCTGAAGGCCAGAAAGATACATATTGACAGGGGCTGTCTTCCAACATAACAAGATACTGCCGTGTTATGCACTGATTCTTCAATGGCAGATAATACAATGTGGAGTTGCTGTGGGAGACTGTGCAATATAGAAGTTAACCAGAGTCAGCTCTTCAGTTCATCAAAGTCGAGCCCTCTACAGGGATGTTTGAGAAGTGGAAACATTTTAACAGTGAACAATTGGTGTTGCAATGACAGTAGCTTACCTGCTAAAGGGTGTAGAACACAGGACTGAATAGCAGATGTCGAGCACCTCTGCAATTCCCAAGTGTCACAGAAAAATTCCAACAGTCAAGAAAATTTGGTGGAAAAGATTAGCAACTTGCCAAAAAGGCAGCTCTGCAAAAGAAGATGAAAAAGAATGTATTGCACATGTTCTAAGATGCGAATTATATCTCAACAATATGAATAAAGTCTCATATCCATTATGCAGAGTGGAGTATAGCTGGAAGTTGAAGATAGACAAATTCAGAATAGAAATAAGGCATAAATGTTTAATAGTGAGGGTAATTAACCATTGGAGCAGTTTACCAAGGGTCGTGGTGGATTCGCCATCACTGACAATTTTTAAATCAAGATTGGATGTTTTTCTAAAATATATACTCTAGGAATTATTTTGGAGAAGTTCTATGGCCTGTGTTATACAAGAGGTCAGACGAGATAATCACATTGGTGTTTTTCTGACCTTGGAATCGGTATGTGTCACAACGCTCTAACACTTCATCACTAAGCTTGGAAGGTTTAAAGTTTTATCAATAAATGTCAGTCAATATCAATTTCAGCATACACACACAAACCAACAAACATATATTTCCATCAATAAGCAAAGTTCACAGATAGAAAAAGTACAAAAAATGTTGTTTGAGAACTTGAGTCAAAATCCAGTGATTTTAGCCTTGTTACAAGTGGACTAGCGAATAAATAGTACAAACCAATATGATTTGTTGATTTAAGGATATTTACTTTATATATTTTGACATGTGATGTTGACAATTTGCGTTTAAACAGCCTATAAAGCTTTCAGTTTTTAATCTCAACATTTACTGTCATTAAGCAAATGTCTGATCCCCCACCCGATTTCCAGCAACCACGAACATTTAATAATAATAATAAAATTTAAATAAAAAAAATGCCTAAACCCCAAAAATTGTCCTACTTTGAAAATGCATTGATACAAGTCTAAAAAGTGGTTAAAAATAAACCCCCAAATACATCAAAATTATAAACTAATAAATATCAAATTCTGCCAAGCCTAATTAACACTGATACAAATGGACGTTTCTCTGTTTGCCTTTCCCTTTCTTGCTTTGTCTTCTTTACTGGAGATTGGCTCATTAACACCAATGCTAATAGTTACACCCACTGGTAAAAACGAGACCAGTTTCCATTAACACACACATTGGAAATAACATATGTTCCAAAAACAAAGAGGTGGCAGATGCCCAGTTTAAAACAGACTGGACTGTATGAGATCACAGGCCCAAACCAAAAATCCAAAACAGACAGACAGATCTATGAGGTGGGTCTGACTGTTGAGAAGGTATAAATGTATTTTAAAAAGCTGTTTGAAATTCTGTTATCAGCAATGGCAGACCCAGCATTCTGAGCCCTGCCTCTCTTGCGTAGGTCTTACACTCCCCTTTGAGATTGCTATTAACAAAATCCACAGTCCCAATCTGGATTTCCCTTCCTCTGTTTTATCTATAAAAACGGAAGCCTATCGCCTTTTATTATGCTACTTGAGACTCTGGCATGAAAGATTTACATTCTTTTAATGTCCTCCCTTTTTGCCTGTCATTGGCAGCTGCATATTAATATTTTTTTATTTCTGAGTCTGATTCTCCATTGCCTTGAACTCTGTGTAGTCATTTACACCAGTGCAAAGTGGGTGTCAAATGCTACTAAGTCAGAATGATAGTATTTTATACTCAGGGTAAAGTGAATGCAATAGTAGTTGTAAAACACTATCAACTGTCATTTAGTAACATTTGTCAATGACTACACAAGATGCATGGCAATGGAGAAATCAGGCCCATAACATTTATATATTTAACAACAATGAGTATAATTTATTCTACAAACTTAGTTCCTTCTTAAGCAACCACTGGAGGATTCGTTTGCATTTTTGTTTTATATTAAAGTAGAATTTAGAGACATTTGATTTTCTTCAGATAGGAAAAGATTTTTTTCCAAAGGGTGCGGCTTGTTTCAAATATAATTTGCAGCTTCCAAGTTATTATATGAAAATTTGCCTCCCAAAGTTCTTCCCTCCTCTGTAAGGTTAATTATACAGACATAATGCGGTCTTGGGCATTTTTAGAGAGGTATGTTAAGGATGATCCCAGTTAGACTGTTTTTGAAGATGCTGCTATAGAGGAAATAGGATGTTCCCAACAAGTTTGAGAAAAGACGGTTACTCACCGTTGTAACTGTTGTTCTTCGAGATGTGTTGCTCATATCCATTCCATTAGGTGTGTGCGCGCCGCGTGCACGATCGTCGGAAGATTTTTACCC